ACCTACCTCTGCAGGTCCCTAGGAGGCTGCAGAAAGGGAGAAGTGTGTTGTAGGCAATCCACCAGATTCTAATCCTGGAGAGACAAACCCAAGAAAATCTCACTATCTTAAATGCCTTCTTGATTTGCTCCTGAACCTCCTTGTGTGGGTCATGGGGGTAGGCAAAAGTGTTACTGTATTGATGAGAACGATTCTTTGGCGCAGGCGGAAGCTATTGTTTTGTATTTAAAGAACAGTTAAAGCTCTGAAAGTTATGTCTCCAGCTCTGACCAGCCCAGTACAGCAGATACAACCTCTCTCAGGGTTCTATCTTCCCCAAACCCGCTGGGTTGTGTGAACCAAAATCTTGGCCCCAAGAGGTGGAGTGCTCATTTCTAAGCCCTGGAACTTCCAAAGTTCTTACAGAAATGAGGGTATCTCTGACACTTGGGGGAGCAAATAAAGCTGATGGAGTGTGCAATGGAGTTGGGATCTGGGCCCTGGCCATGCAGGCATTTAGGGATAAGGGTCAGGGAAGGGACCTCTTGTTCAGGCCTGTTCTCTGGGGCCCAGGTGCCCAAAGCCATGCTTTCAATTTCCCCGTGCCAGCCTCATTCTCAGGCCTCAAAAGGATCCCACATGAAATCCCACCCTCTCCCTGGAACCAGGGCTGACAAAAATATGGGAATGATGGAAAATCAAAGCAAAGCAGGGGCGTGGCTGGCTGACTCCTATCCGAATGGGACTTTTTTTGGGGTGGGGGTTGGGTGAAGAGAAGAGAAGGTTCTGGCGAAAAGTCGAGCTGGAGAGGATGAGTTGAATCAAATTTCTGCCCTGTCATTTTTCTCCCAAGTAATGACCTACGAAAAATTCAATATGACCGAGAGAACTGCGCGAGCATATTATAGTAACTGCCTGCTCGTGGGGGAGGCCCGGAGAGAGGTGAATTGCGGGTCACGGCGTCTAAAAATTATTAAAATGTTTGAGAGCCTCGTGACGCGCCTAGCTGTTTAACAAAGACTGCCAAAGTATGAGATTAATACGAAAACTTGCGCTTCCAAAACAAAAACATACAAAAAAAAAGTCATGTTCCGGCCTCTGAGGGAGCCCGTGGCTCTGCCCGCCGTCGCGGTCCGGTTTTCCGGACACACAATAGTGGACAAGAGCGAGCTCAGCTGTTGCCCAGCGCGTCCGCGGGCGGGTCGGCGGCCGGCAGGGCTGGGGAGCCTCCCGGTGAGTACCCTCGCCCGCGCCCCCTCTGGCCTTTTTCTCCGCCGCGCCTCCGCCGCCGCCGCCGCCGCCGGCTGGGGACTCGCCTCCGCTCGGGCCTTCGGTTTCCCTCCCTCGTTGAGTCCCTCCTCCCTGCCGACAAAAGGTGATGATTCCTCGTGGACTGGGCACACTCGGACTGCGGAGGGGGACTGGGTGGCGCGAGGTCACGCTAGCAACCTGTAGCTGCCAGGAGAAGGCGGCTAGCAAGCCGCGGAAAGACCCGGGAGCGCAGGGGAGGTGGCTCCGATCCGCGCATGGCCCCTGCTCTTATTTTATTATTATGCGAGTGGCTGTTGGTATCCTTCTGGGCGGTGGAGGGGAGAGGCAGCCTCCTGCTGCGGTGAAATCCGTCCTGGGAGTCGCCCATAAACCCTGTCCTCCAACTCGGACTGCTGGAGGGGTGAGGGGGGTGCCGCGCCTCGGTGGGATTGGCAGGTGGCGGCTCCCAGCGCGCAGAGGAGAAAACTCTGTGTTCTTGGGCTCCAGGATCAAGGATACCAAAACCCGCGGTGGCTGTAGCCCCCGTTCCTCTCTCTTGGGGTGCTGGGGCACCTGGGCCGCATGTGAAGTGTAGAGCAGCAGAGAGGCTCGGCAGCCGGCCCAGCGGCCCTCCCAAACTTCCGAAATGCAGACGGGTTGGACGGGTTTCCGAGAGTTGGCGAGTTAAGAAGGACAGGAGGTATGGGGTGGGGGAGGGGCCCGGCCGATTGGAGTGGGTCCTGGAGACCCTAAGCGACCTTTGACAAGACATGGAAAGGTCCCTGCTTGACGCTAGGGAGCTGCTGGGGATCCTAGCAGCGCATTTTGTCTGTGGGCCCAGGGCCAGACTCTAGTCTCTCTGCCCAGATGGGGGTCTGAGAATACCTATTGGACCCTCTCTTGGCAAAGACAACCACAGTGTAATAGTTTGCTTTTTTCTCCCAAATATGTGTGAGTTCAGCTTGTCTGGGAGAATGTTGATGCTAGAAGTCAGGCCCAGAGACTAACATTGGCAATTCCTAGATTTAAAATTAAAGGAAAATCAGAGAGTCTCTGGACCTAGTTGTAGGCAGGTGGGAACTCTCCTCCTACACACCTGCAAGGTCCCAGGACTGGGGATAGGCAGAGACTCTGGAGTGTTGTACTTAGAGGATTGTTTTTGTGTTGTTCCTGTATTTGTTAATGAAATTGATATTATTTTGACTTTCTCACTAGAGATGCGAGTATCTCTCAGACCTAGGGAGTTGAGTAGGGAGTCTGGGTGGGGTGGAGGCTTTTTCTATGCACATTTTCCCTTACTCTGTCACAGCTTTGACAGTCTCAGTTCCCTCCTGCCCAATCCCTAGACTCTCCGCTTAGTAAATTCACGGCTTTTGGGAGCCTCAGGAAGTGGGTTCGGAAACCCCAGATGCCCATTTTGGTTCTACCACCAGCAACCCAAGCAGGTGGCTAGGCGAGTTCGTGTGTGTTAAGAAGGAAAGGACCCGCCTGGGGCTAGGAAGGTGGGGAGATGGGGTTCCTCCCCACACCTCCCCTGGATAGTCCCCCTCTCCTGGCTCCCAGGAGGTGTGAGAGGCTGGGAGGGGTCCTATATCATCTGGCTGCATCTTTTATGGTTCCTCATTGCCCTTCATTCGGAAATGAAACGCCTTTGATCTTTTCTCAGGTTGTAAACCGAATTGCCCGTCATTAAATATCCGGGGTCCCATCTGCTTGGTCTCCCAGCATTTTTCTTTACAGCTGTTTCTCTCTCTTTTTACCATTGAATTTTTCCAAAAGGACTTTTATTACACCTCCTTCACACCAAGCCGCCTCTTCCTCCTCTCTTCGCTGAGAGGCTGAGAGGCGCTTTGGAAATATCTAGATATTCGTTTGATCACAAACTAAAGACTTGGAGGGGCACAAGGAGCCGATTGGAGTTTTGTTTTTGCTTAAAAAAAAAAAAGTCTTCGGGGGAGGGGAGGGGCGCGAGGGCACCCAGAAAGGCCTGAATCTGACTTCGCGGCAGCCTCAGAATGACCCTTCCTCCTTTTGTGCTTAGCTAATGTTTACATCTCATAATTCATGCGCCACCGAGAGTTGCGCGGCGGCGCGGCGGCAAGGTTCGCGTCCCTTTGCGAACTGGCTGCTTGTAATTCTAATAGGAGAATTGAAAACCTTGTAATCCCAAGAACGGAGTCGCAGTGCCTTTTTCTGTTCCCAGGGCTCAAAACTAGAACAAAACGAAATAAAACCAAAGCACTCAAACCACACCCCAAAAGAAGAACACGCGGAAAGTAGGAGAACTGGAAAATTTCTGGGCCAAGAAGATCTGTCTGTCTTCTGTATATACCCTGTAGATCCGAATTTGTGTAAGGAATTTTGTGGTCACAAATTCGTATCTAGGGGAATATGTAGTTGACATAAACACTCCGCTCATATTTTTCCAGAAGAAAAAAATATATATACGTATTATTTTTCTGAATGAGGAAAATCCGGTGACTGGCCACACGAAGACGCCTTTCTCTTTCTTCCTCTTTCTTTTCCTCCTTCAACTGGTTAAAGATGGAGAAATCATCTACCTGAACTCTCCCCACGCCTGCCCCTGGGAGCCTTGGTCCTTTTTCACCTCTTTTTAAAGAGGTTAATGTTATTGTTGTTGAAGTATTAAATTTACTTCTCGTCCAAAACGCACCCATTTTCTATTCTGGGCTCAGGGAGGCTTTATTGGAAATTTCGAAAAAAAATTACTTGTCTTCAGTGTTCCAAGAAGGCAAAGGAAATTTGCTTAACAAACGGATGTTGAGGCGGCCTTTCCGTTTCATTTCAGAACAAGATGCCCTGGAAATACTTAATTACCAAGGGGTGCTATTGTCTGTGGGGTCACCTCTAGGGCTGTATCCCCAGCATCACAGGGATGTGAGATTTCCATTCGCCGCGGAGGCGGCGGCATTAGTGACTATTAGAATGTCTCGGCGCCATGGGTAGTATTGCTCGGGTGGTTCTGGAATTAGCAAATTATTAATCAATTTTGCTCTCAAAATTTGCAGGCTTTTTCTTTTCTTTTCTTTCTTTCTTTTCTTTCTTTTTTTTTTTTTACCCCAGCGCTCCACCTATAGTGTGGGAAACCAAGTCGTTTCTCCGGACTTGGGCCGTGTGGGTTAAAGGGAGGCGTGGATAGGAAAACGGGGACAGACGGACTGACTGACACAGTCTAGCTAATCGCGCAGCTAAATGCGATTTGGAAGGCAAGGTCTCCCCGAATTAGTGCATGAATTTCCTATCGATCCGCCCGCGGTTCCATTCATCTCTGACAAGTCCCTCTGCGCACCCGCCCTCTAGCTCTGGACGCCTCCTCTCTCACCCCTACCCCTCCCCATCCGGCTGCAGAGAAAAGCCCCAAGCTCTGTGTTCTGGCCCCGTACGGGTTCCCCTTTCGAGAAGTAGCCCCCAGCCCGCCAATGACTTAAATCCCCATACAGACTCAGGGTGCAAGGGCTCCCTCCCGCCGTGGGGAGGAGATAGGGGCCTGTAAAAGGTAGAGAATGCTGGGCAGAGGTGAGGCAGAACAGTAGGGGCTACACTGGATGCCCCAACTTCTTAAGGGATCTAGGGTTTGCGCTCTGCCTAGCGCCCCAACAGGCCCTCCAGTCGCAACCTGCGCGCGCTCTCTCTCTCAATCTCTTTGATCCCGGAGAGAGCGAGGCAAGGAGGGGGTCGCCCCGCAGGAGCCCTATGTAAATCCTGCTGTTGGGTGGGTGGGTGGGGAGGGGGAAGAGAAGAAGGGGAAATAAACCTCTTTGGCTGGAGTAGGGTCCGGGTGAGCAGATTTCCTTATCCGGGAATCGCAGGCGGGGCGGCCATTGGCTCGGAGGATCACGTGGGCGCCTAACTTTGTTCACTTGACAGTAAGTAGGAGGGCTTTCGGAAACAGGAAAACGAGTCAGGGGTCGGAATAAATTTTAGTATATTTTGTGGGCAATTCCCAGAAATTAATGGCTATGAGTTCTTTTTTGATCAACTCAAACTATGTCGACCCCAAGTTCCCTCCGTGCGAGGAATATTCACAGAACGATTACCTACCCAGCGACCACTCGCCCGGGTACTACGCCGGCGGCCAGAGGCGAGAGAGCAGCTTCCAGCCGGAGGCGGGCTTCGGGAGGCGCGCGGCGTGCACCGTGCAGCGCTACGCGGCCTGCCGGGACCCTGGGCCCCCGCGGCCTCCGCCACCACCCCCGCCGCCCCCGCCACCGCCCGGGCTGTCCCCTCGGGCTCCTGCGCCGCCACCCGCCGCGGCCCTCCTCCCGGAGCCCGGCCAGCGCTGCGAGGCGGTCAGCAGCAGCCCCCCGCCGCCTCCCTGCGCCCAGAACCCCCTGCACCCCAGCCCGTCCCACTCCGCGTGCAAAGAGCCCGTCGTCTATCCCTGGATGCGCAAAGTTCACGTGAGCACGGGTGAGTGCATGGGCACCCCTTCCCCCTCCCACCCCTGGAGCTTTACACCGAAGGGACCTCGGAGGCATGGGGGGGGTGAGCTGGGGAAGCCAATTGTCCCCGCTATAAACTCGCCATTGCCAGAGATTTACGGTTGCCTGTTTTCAGAGCCACATAATTACATCCCCCATAAATTTTTATGGCCTGGTGGGCCCTGCGCCTTTGAAGTAGGTTCTCCATCCTCTTCACCATTCTCACCAGCGACTTTTTCGCCAGGGAGATACAGTCTCAGTGAAGTTGAAAGTTGGGGAGGGGTATAGGAGGTGGAGGAGGAGAAGGAGGAGGTAATCCGTATTTAAGCAGAGAGTTGAGTCAACTCCCAGTATTTATTTTTTCCTTTCTTCTAGTCTGACTCCTTGGCTGGAGAAGTGGGCAAAAGTTTTCAGTAGGGGCAGGCACTGCTTGGAATCTGAGCAGCAGGGGTGGGAACTAAACAGAGGAAAGGTTTAGAGAAACCTCCCCTCCCTCTTCCACATCCTCATTCTCCCATTCTGGGGGCCCCAAGCTGAGGGAGAGAGAGGAGCAATTAAAACCTTGGGGGATTCTTCACACACACACACATCCACCACCAGCACCAGACACCCAAACAACAAGGACACAGCGCAACTCTCCAAAACTTGGAGGTCTCTTTCTCATTCTTGGGTCTTGCATTCTTCCCTTTTCGTTTTTCCCCCCTCCCTCTGAAGGAACTAGAGGTGGCAGGAGAGGGAGGGAGGGAAACACTGTGTTCACTGGAAGAAAGGGCTCTTCCTTTCTGGGGCAATAAAACTTTCTCTTTCTCCCTCTCTCTGTGTGTGTCCAGTAAACCCCAATTACGCAGGCGGGGAGCCCAAGCGCTCTCGGACCGCCTATACTCGCCAGCAGGTCTTGGAGCTGGAGAAGGAATTTCACTACAACCGCTACCTGACGCGGCGCCGGAGGGTGGAGATCGCCCACGCGCTCTGCCTCTCCGAGCGCCAGATCAAGATCTGGTTCCAGAACCGGCGCATGAAGTGGAAAAAAGACCACAAGTTGCCCAACACCAAGATCCGCTCGGGTGGCGCCGCAAGCTCAGCCGGAGGGCCCCCTGGCCGGCCCAATTGAGGCCTCCCCCCACCCCCGCGCTCTGGTGCCCCCCACCCACGCAGGAGCCACGAACCTCAGGATGGGGGTGGGCAGCGAGCGCGGGGGATGGGGTGGGGGGATGGGAGGGGGCCCGGGGCCTGGGCCCCGGAAAAACCTATCTGCCCTCCCCTCCTTTATATGCGAATAAACGCAGAAGAGGGGGAGGGGAAGCTTTATTTATAGAAATGACAATAGAGGGCCATAGGGAGCTCCCCCAGAAGCAAGATTCAAATCTCTTGCTTTCTTCCTTACAAAAGCAAAAAACAAAAAAAAAAAAAAAAAAAGAAAGAAAGAAAATAAAAAGCAAGAAGGAAGAAAGAAAAAGACAGAAAGAGGAATAGGAGGAGGCCGCAGCTCCTCGTTTTCAGCTTTGGCGAAGATGGATCCGCGTTTCATCTTTAATCACGCCAGGCACAGGCCCATCTGTCTTGTTTACTCTGCCGAGGAGAGGACGGGCCTCGGTGTCGACCATTACCTCGACACCCGCTAACAAATGAGGCCCGGCTCGGCCGCCTCCGCCTCTGCTGCTGCCGCTGCTGGAAGACAGCCTGGATTTCCTTTCTTTGTCCCCCACTCCCGATACCCAGCGAAAGCACCCCTGACTGGCAGATAGTGCACTGTTTTGGCCACGGTAACAAACACACACACGCTCCCTCATCCTCTGTGCCTCTTCACGGAGGGACAAAATGACTGTTCACCCACTTCCACCGTGGGATTGGGGGTGGGGAACAGAGGAAGGGAACAAGTAGGGGAGGGGGTGGCCTTGACAACTCAGGAGTGAGCAGGAAAATTGAGTCCAAGGAGAAAAAGAGAGACTCGCAGACCCGAGAGGCCCTTCCTCTGGAAGGCCAAGCCAAGCCATACCTGGCAGGGTGAGGGGCCAGTTGGGTTCTGGGAGCTGGACCTGACTCTGCCAGTCCAGAGTTGTACAGCAGAGGCCTGTCTCCTAGACTGAAAAGGAATGTGAAACTAGGAAATACAATGTGCCCCTCCCAGTCTGGGAGGAGGATGTTGCAGAGCCCTCTCCCACAGTTTATCATGTTGCATCGTTTATTATTATTATTGATAATATTATTATTACTATTTTTTGTGTCATGTTCGTCCTCTCTCCTCTTCTCTTTCTGACATTCCAAAACCAGGCCCCTTCCTACCTCTGGGGCTGCTTGAGTCTAGAACCCTTCGTATGTGTGAATATCTGTGTGCTGTACAGAGTGACAATAGAAATAAATGTTTGGTTTCTTGTGACCAGCACAGCGTGTTTTTGTTGAAACATTGGTGTAAAGATATGGACAGATGCCACCCAGTGTATATTTTAAGCACCCTAGTGGGTTCAGCCTCACGTTGTATGTGGTTGAAGATTTTTTTCCAAAGAGTCTGATGGGAATTTTTATCTCAGAGGACTCCAAATTGTGGTAGCTCATTTGTTATCCTTTTAGGGTAGGGTGTGTTTTGTTTTGGGGCTTTTAATATTTTCCCTTCAGTCCAAAAATGGATTGAAAGGGCTGGGAGGGCTGATTCCAGTCCCTAATGGGGGAAAATGTTTCATTGTAGGACACAAGAGGCTTAAGCACGGCAAAGCCTTTCATATCGTGATTTATTTGTCATAAGCAAATAAAATGCGGTTAAGCTGTCTCCTTCTAGACAGACGGCTCTTTGGTTATTAAAGTTCCAAGAGAGGATTCCATGAGGCCGGCCTCTTTCCTCACAGCATAAGAAGGTATTGCTTTCCTCTAAGGTGTTTAAGGCTTTAATGAGTCTAATTTTTTGCACAGATGTTTCTGGGTGTTTGCAGGTTTTCAGAGTATTTTTATATTACAAAGGAGGTAGCCGGTGCCATAGCTCAAACTCTGACAAGCAAATAGATAATCAAGAAGACAAATGGCCTCTTTTGTGAAGCCTTGCTCCTGTATTAATTTTCATTTTCTTTCTCATAGAAAGTATCGAAAGTATGACTGGGGACCAAATAGCTTTCTGTCTCTGAGGTCCCGGTCACCCCTAGAATGGAGTGGGGGTAGGGGAAAGGGGTACAGGTGACCCTCAGAAGCTCTGTCAGGCTCGGATTTGCTTTTGTGCAGCACTGCTTAGAAGTTCTAAGGTCTGCGGGCTCCAGTCTCAGGGTCTTTGGTCCATTGGTTATCCAGGGTGCAGCCACCCCATCTCCAAAAAGCTCGGGGCTCAGGAGAGCATATACAATTAAAAGTCGTTTTTTCTGTCCCATCTCCTTTCAGAAAATAAAAAGAACCAATCCCACCCAAATGTTTTCTTGTTATTTATTTTGCATTCTTCCCTTTTGCAGCTCTGGTAGTTGGAGGCTGGGTAGGGCAGGGGGAACGGACAGATCGTTGTCCCCAGCCGAGAAAGGGCTGCTGAACTGTCCATTTCAATGCTGCTGGGAGAGTCGTGAAAAATCGCTGTGGACCTGGAGGATGAGAGGGGAGAGCTTTATTTGGTCGGATCGCGGTGTGATGGTTTAGCTGCCAGGGGATGCCTCGGCCCTGAGTTGAGGGGGAAAATAGTTCTTAAAAAGCATATGCCCCCTAAGGAATGTCTCTAAAGAGCCAAATCAAAGCTGCTCCTTGGAAGGTATGAATAGAATTTAAAACAAAGAAAAAAAGATTTCTATGGAGCTTAAAGTTCACAGCCATTCTGTGTAGACAAGAGCTAAGAAAAATGTGAGAATTATACAGAAAACCATTAATCACTTCTTTTCTTTAAATACGTATCCTCTCTCCTTTGTTATTATTCAACAGCAAACCTCCTCAGACCGGCTGTTGGGGGAAAAAAGTGTTAGCCGTCTCTCCCGGATCTGCGAGGGGGAAAAAATTTGGAACCATAAAGTTGAAAACTTTTTTCTCTCAGTTTGGAAGAAGGCCTTCGTCATGAATGGGATCGGCGGAGTTCGGGCGAGAGGAGGCGAGAGGCGCAAAGGTAACAAAGCCCCGGCCTGGGCTGGCGCTTTTTGATCGTTTTATGAGCTCTTTTCACAAGTGAAAGAAGAACTACTCTCTCGCCTCCTCCTTTTTCCTTTTTAACTCTCTTGGCTGGGTTTTTATGGTGGATGCTTCGGCAGGTTTGCTCCCTTTTATGATGACTGATGCTTGGGTCAGAGGGAGAGAGAGGGGCCTCGACACCTGGAGAGTGTTTGAACTGGTTGAGGCTGAGGTGTCAGGGCCCATGAAAAACCTTAGAGAAGAGGGTTGCTTTGTGAGGCAGTCCAGAGGTACTTTTCTGGTTTTGGAAAATGCATGCAGGCACAGCGAGCCCCAGCATGTGTGCATGGGTGAGTCTAGTGAGGTGCATATGTGGTCAGGGTGTTCCTGTGACTCTGCTTGTCTACACTGGGGACTGGTGTCCCCTATGCCTGTTTACCGGTGAGACGTTGTCACTGCTGCCTCCCGGAAAAATCGAATCCAGCGCTTGGATGGAATGTTCCAGCTTTGGAGCGGGTATAAGTAGATATGTTTTTTTTTCTTCTTCTTCTTGTGTCTAGCTTGGGATTCTAGACAAATATGTGCTACTCTCTGGAGCAGGAAACTGCTCAGTTCGAAGGCGAGGTGTACTGATGCAGAAATACTTCTCTTCTGCTCTATCCCAGCAGCTTTCTTCCTGAAGGAGCGATGTTGGTTCGGTTTGGTTTCCCTTTGCTCTCCTACTTTGGAGTCTCTGTTCTCTCACCTCTGCAGCCCTGTTTCTTAGGCTGAAGGAGTCACTGGGCTCTACAGCCGACCTGAATGTGCTGGTCCTTTTTCCCTGAGGCCTCACTCAGGGTTTGGAGGCGGGGGGCTGGCAGGAGAGAGAGTTCATGGAGAGGCCACGTTTTCTAGGCGATTAGCTCAGTTTTAGAACCACAAAATGACCTCAGAAGCCCCTTGACCTCGCTGAGACTGGACATTGTGTTAGTTCTTGCCTCCTGCCTAGGAGGGAGAGTCACACCTCTGCAGGGAGGGTCCTTGGCCTGTCCTGTGTCCTATCTAATCCATCCCCCTCTAGGCTCCAAGCCCATCTTTGTGATTTTGGAACTTTTGGATTATTTTTCTATTACTGTCCACTGGGGGAAAAGGCATAAAGGTTTTTAGCCCAAGGGTGCAGTCGGGGGAGGGAAGCAGGGTGCTAATCTCTCTCTCTGTACAGAGCATCTTCAGTAGTCCAGGCTCCAGCCATCCTCCCCCCACCACTCCCAGTTCCAGTTCATCTCTTTACCGTTTCACTTGGAGGAAACTGAGGGAAGAAAGACAAAGGGAGAAGATATGAGAGGTTAGAGGGGCTCAATCCACAAGGCTTCAGAGGGCCAGAGAAATAAACTCCAGAGCTGCGAGGAGAGAAAGGGCTTCCCCCTTAAACATTGCTTTGGGGGCTGTCATCTCTCTGAGGGCTGACATCCAAATCCACAGCCTCTTAACCCATTTTCTGAAGTTCCTTTGTTTAGGAAGATATTTCTATAATTGCCTTTACCTCTTTCCCCTAATTCCTAATCTCCTCAATAACCAGAAGAGCCCTTGGAGTGCCTCACCCACCAGAGGAGCAGGGGAAATGGGAAGAGGATCCGTGCAGACTGTTCTAAGCACTTTCCAGGGCCTGCTCTCCCAAGTTAGCCAAAGTTTTCAGAAACTTTTAAGAAATAGATGGAGGATTGCCTGGTATATAGAGCCTTTCCAAAACTGTATTCTGTTTGCTGTATCTTAAAAATCCACATGAGGAGCCACCCTCTTAGGGAGAGACAGAGACAAAATGAAAGAGAGACAGACACAGATAGACGCTGATTGGGAGGATGAGATGTTCCGCTTCAGTTGAGACTAGGAGAGACAGAACCTTGCTGGGCTATGTGGGTTGTTGGTTTGCATTTTATTAATTGTTTCTTGAAATTTGGGAACTCTATCTCAGGCAAGAAATAACTGGAGTGGTTAATATTTTCTCCTTTGTCCCTGGGTGGCATAAGTGGAGGGGCTGATGGCCTCAGGAAAGAAAGAGGATGAGCAGAAAGCAAGCTAGGCTGATCCTGGACTAAACATATTTGGGGCTCAGGGAGATGTACATTCATTACCTATAAGGGCAGATAGCCAGTTGTGAGCCCTCTATGGGCCCAAGTGACAAAGACCTAGTTGCCTGGGACTTTACAAACTGCTCTCTGCAATGTGAGGATGAGGACCCACCAAAGGGAAAAGGAGAGGGACCATAGACAGGGAAGGCTGGGGTTCACTAAGGAGTTTCAGCCTCACAGGCTAAAACTGCCAGATCTCCCATTTCCCTCATTACAGACAATTCTAGTGCCACTCCAGTCCTCCCAGTCTTTTGACTTCTTTCCCTCTTTTCTTCCCAGTTCCCTCAGCCCTCCCTGTTCTCCCTCCTACTTCCACCGGCCTATCCTGAGCAGAGGGGGTTGCCTAGTCCTGCCAGAGCCCTCGGAGGCAGCCCCAGCGCTGGCGGTGGGTCTCCCTGGGAAGCGGCGGCTGGGAAGGGGGTCTGGTTGGAAAACGGAGTTGGGAAGTTTCCCAGCGTGAGTTGAGCGCTGACGGATTTGTGATCAGCCATAAAACTGGCGCGTTCAGATTCGTAAATCAATCTCGCCTTTCTCACAGTCTAAACGTTCGCTTCATCGGCAGCATGAAAGTGCTCGGCTCGCGCTCAGGCGCTTGTTTATTTGAACGTGGACATTCCCAGGATCCAAAAAGAGCGTGGTCATTTTAACAGAACCTGCTGGCATGCCTTTGTGTCATTTTGCTGTTCTTTTTCTTGTCCTTAAAAATTATTTCTCCGTTTTAGAGATTGCTGTCTTCCCCTGTCCAGCATTTCTCTCTCCCCTCTCTCTCTCTGCCTCCTATTTTTATTTTAGACTTTAGCAGAGTGTTTTTCTTTGGAGCACCATTTTTTAATGGGTTTGTGGCCAGAACCTTTCAGGGAGTTGCCCTCGCTGGAGCCGGGAGCAGGGGCCCACATCAGGACCAGGCTGGATTCAATACCAGTCTGTGTTTTGTATCTGGACAATCAAAGCTGACCACCTCCCCTACAGAGTCTGGGCCCAGCCGGCGCCCCGACCCCATGAGGCCAGAGCAGATTCCAGTGCGTTTGGCTGGGGCAGAGGCCGTGCAGCCGCCACTGTAGCTGGAACCTCCTCCGAGGCCGACATTACGGTGACGGTTTCTTTAAGGTTTATTAAGACAACTGGGTCCCCAGTCTTTTCTCCATTGAGTTGCTTTTGGTTTAGACCCCTCCAAACAAGCCAGTGGAGGTCCCTCAGTCCCCTGCTCCCCTACCCTAAAGCTAATTCTTCCCGGATTCCCTGCCTGCCCCGGAGGCTGTGGTCCTGGCTGCCTCAAGAGCTGCTGAGGACAGAAAAGGCTGGGGCTTCTTTAGGAATGTCTTTTCTGCTTCCCTTTGCATCCCCACCCCCACCCCATGCCCCGGCCGAGAACTCAGATTCTAGTTGCTTGTAACTGGTCAAGTTTGGCAGGGGTTGTTTTATTTTGTTTATATTTGAGGTGAAGAGGTCTGTGTGTGTCTCTCTCTTTAGGCCTAGGGGATAGATAGTCCCTAGTATTTAACCCTTTAACAGGCACAGCCACCCCGCATCTTTTTCCCATTGATCAGCCTCCATTGTCTGTTGATTGGAAGCTTGGGGTGCTAACACCTGGGAAATAGGGATCCTGGGGCTGCCAGGCTGACTTCAAAGCTTTTTTTCTTCTTCCCTCCTCTCCTGTTCAAACCTCTAGCTGTCTTCACTGGTGTGTTTGGGAAGTGGGGGAAATGAGACAGGGTGTGACATAGGTGGAAAGAGGCTGACGGTCCGATTCTTTTGTGTAGAAACCTTAGTCCCAGTTTTTGTCTCTAGAATCTATTTTCAAACAGTCAGTTGCATTTGGTTTCCTATAGCAGTGACAGTACAACGGGGAAAAAAGTCCCCCTTGCAATTATTCTCAACTCTGGAAGCTCCAGAGTAATCTCTTCATCCTGTCCCTTTTTTTGCCCCTTCAGAGGGCACCAGAAAAGATCAAAACGAGAATAAAGCCAGAAGTCCCACTCTTTATCCACTTATACCATGGACTTATGAAGTGTTTCTTTTCAAACTGGCTCCTTCAGAAATTTTGTCCATGGGAGTGGGTCCCACTCAAAAAAATATCCCCGGGAGTGGGGAGAAAATGGAGTTAGGGAGGGAATCTTAATCCTAAAGGATGCAGAGAGAAGAACTGGAAGCTGAGAAATCCAGGGGCTTGGAGAAGGGCTCTGCGCCCACCCCACCCCCACCCCCCAGACGCCCCTGCAGACTATTTCTGCACCTCCACGAACTAAGCAGAAGCAGGAGAAGAAGGGAGAGAGGAGAGGTGGGCTGTGGGTAAGTGTGTGTCCAGGGGGGTTAGGGAGCTGCAGATGTAGTAGGTATGAATGTAAGTGTGGGAGACAGAAGGAGACTTCACTACTGTTCCATTGGTGGGTTGCGGGGGGAACTTATTTTGCAGGAAAATTTCTCCTCCTGAAGGGGAAGGTCATAGTGGTCCTTTGAGCCTGAAATCGAAAGACCCCCTTCCCCCTCCTGGTCACGTGATTCATTAAATAATTAATGCCGAGGTTGCAGAATAGATATGTATTCGTCAGGAAAATCGCAGGCTCGGTCTCCCTGTTTCTGACGTGCAATTCAACTGTCCTTTGAAAAACAAGCCTGTACCCCGAGAAAAAAAAAGAGAGAGGGGGAGAGAGAGAGAGGGAGAGAGAGAGAAAAAGAAAGGGAGGCAGCAATAAAACAGCCCCGCAGCCGGAGCCACACCGCGGGCTGGGGTATTGTAAGTAGAAGGGATTTCTCACTACCTACCGCGTCTTATATGTCCATGTAAATTTATTGTTTGTTATTAATGTTATTGTCGTAAAATGTGACAAATAGCCATCTTCATTTCCTGCCATTTCTCTTCACATGGTGTTCTGTGTGTTTATACCCGTTG